GGGGCGGAAAATTTTGGCCGAGTTAGGCCAAAACCGACTTATCGCGTGACCGACTTATCGAGTTTATATATGTAAAAGGAACTTTATAAACCATAATTGTTAATTAACCGAAATGATACCTCGCAATATCACCATTTAACAAGAATCGAAAAATTACAAAAGTTTATTTCAAAATATTGTTACAAGATAAGAAATAAAATAAGGATGAGATAAAAAGATAAATAAAAAAGATAATAAATTTATAATGGAGATTAAATTACTATTGTTACTAGAACCTAATGTTAATTAATTAATTAATTAATATTGTTAGTGATGGATAGTAATTTCCAATTAATTAATAATGAAATTTTTATTCACATTTAGAAAAAAGAGTCATAATCAAGATTATTTAACGAATTATCATTACTTGTAATTTTTAAGCTTTTCGACTTAGCAATCTCTTCATCTAATATTCTACTTGTGTGATATGCAACTGGGTGTGACTTGTGTGCTTGTTGCAAAGCACTACCACTCGTGCACAATCCTTGGGCATAGTTTTTAATAATTTATTTAGAGTTCTCATTGAATTTCGACACAATTTTAGCAGATCGCCATCTTTTTTGGACAAGGGTGCCTTTCTTCCATATGAAAATTCTATAATGATTATGACCTGGCCTTTACCAGTTGTCCTGATCACTTTGTACAGTCCATCAAACTTATGATCTTTTGTGTCTGGAGTGGTTTGTTCAATCCTTAGTTAAACAAACAAAAATTAGTAAGATTAATAACTCAACTTCGAACTTTAAAATTGATATTTACCATGCAACATCCAATTCATCTTGGTGCATTCTAAACAGTCGATTTAAGATATACACAATGGTGTCGATTGCAAAAGTTCTTTCTAGATCGAGGCCTTTATATTCGACTCTCATTGGAGCTTCAAGTCGGACTGAACTATTTATGGAAAATAAGTAATAGTATGAAAAATTGGTTAATGTTAATATAAAAAATACTTACAAATGTATTAGAATTTGCTGGGCTTCATAGTAACAAGGATCAAATCTTCCGAGAACATAGGACTTGCGAACTATAGTTGGAATTTCAGCTCTGGTACATGCATCCTCAGTAAATTGCTCAATATATTGCACAAATTCGGAGGTTTGTTTCCAATTTTTCTTCGCGATTACTTTTTCAAGCCAATTGAGTTGATCCATATCAAGAGTCTTTTAACTGTCTTATACACTTCTTTGTCAGAAAGATCTAGTATGCCATTAAGGCATACTGAACTCATGTAATTCGTACCTGATTTTTTTTCTTTATTTTGGAATTCAACCAAGATATCAAGCAACTTATTGTGAATTTCTACTTTGTCCTAAGAAGATAGTCAGGGATAAGCATAAACATTATATAAAAGGAGGTCATAAAAGACACAATACCTGAGAGAGATCTTCAATTTCCTTCAAATCTTGCTCCACCTCAATCACTTCCGTATCAATCTCTTCTGAGTTATGACCTGCGCTTTCATCAGTTTCTACCTATGCACATAGGAAAATTTGAGTTGATATTTTTGTGTGCTAAACATTATCTTCGAATTGTATTTCCACATACTCACCTTGGTTCTTTTAGAATCATTTGCTACTTTGGTATGGCTTGATGAATGATCAAATGCAAATACTGCAATCATATCAGGATGTGTTAATTCGAAATTGGTATAGCCCTATTAACAATCTAAAAATAATAAATTATGTTAAAATATTCTTTATTCTTTATGTTGATATTAATGTTTTATTTTCTTACTTGATCTATGAGTTGTTCAAGATTCCACCGTCCATCAGCATTCTTTCCAGGACATATTATGACTTGAGCTTCATGAGGAAAATTTTCTCCAACCACCAATTTTTGTTCATCTGATAATTTAAGTCTACCAATTGTTTCAGTTAAAAAATCACTTACGTGCATTGTTATCCTTGGCCTTTTTTTCTCAGAGGTTGTTCGTTTTTTGGTCTCCATCCTGATTTTTGGTCATCATTAGATTGGAATGTTGTTTCATCTTGTGTTATGATCATGTGTATTTTTTCACCTTCTCTCAGTTCAGGGTTAATTTGAACCTCCAAATCATCACCAGTAAATATAGGCATCAACTTCTGGTAATTAATGTATTTATGATAAATTTTAATTAATTAATTGAATATCTAATAGAAATAAAAATCAAATTATCTTTTCATGTCTTCTAAAAATTTCTTTCTATATCATCACATTCATGTCCATCAACATACACTCCTTTGGTAAATTTAGAATGAACAAACCCCATTTTATTTAGCCATCTGATAGCTGTTCTGGGACTAATATGAGTATTGAATTGATTAATTTTTATTAAATTACAAATAAAGTTTTGTAAATAACATTGTTACCTTATATTTGTTTTATTTTCAATTCCAATCATTGGTAAAATTTCTTCAGAGATATAAACACAAAAGTTAGAATTTGTTATATTAAACTTATTTTTTCTAAGATATGAACTAATTTTAGATTTTACATCTTCATCATCTAATATACTGCTTCCAATTAAATGCTGTCCACGTGCTCATTTAGGGACATCTCCATATTCTAAAAAGGTTTTTGACCAGCTTGTTATACATCTTAAGAACCACTTGCTTTTATTCAATAGGTCAAAAACTATTTCGCTAGCTTCAATCTTTGCATATCTTTTATTCCTTAACCTAAGATATTTTTGAACAGCCTTCAAACATACCCTATATCCTGGAGTTAATTTTTCTGAGTTTAATTTTAATCCTATTTGATTTATAGTTGAATTCAAGTGATTCTCTTCTTCATTATTATTTTCAACAATCCTACTATTGGATGAGAAAAAATCATTTAATTTTTTTCAGCATCCTTCTTTGCTTCTATTTTTTTCCTATATTTAGTGGTTCTAGAATTACCAAGATAAACCAGGGGGCGATTAGATAAAGATGATGGTGATGGTGATGGTGATGGTGATGATGGTGAAGACAATAATGATAAAGGAAATTTTTCTATATCTTTTGATAAATTATCAATGAGCAACTCTGCATTTTCTTCAATTTCATTATCAAACCATCCAAAATTCTCTTCAATTTCATTATTTAATAATTCTTCTTCTGAGCATTCTGCATATTCATCATATTCATCATTTAATAAAATTTCTTCCAAATCTTTTTCAGCCACATTATTTGAACTTAAATCTTCAGTATCATTATCATTTTTTAATTCTTCATTTTTTTTACTTAATGGTTTGTTTTTTTAGCAGCTGCCAATTCTTTACATAATTGAAGCTTCCTCTTAGTATCAGAGAAACAGCATTTAGGAAAATGATTATACAAAACAAACACTATTTTACTTTCCTCTTAACATCAGAGCCCAAATGCAATTTCAGGGCCACAAACCCTGCTCTAGATTGCAACCTCCTGTGTTTGAAACAAGTTGCAGATTCTCATTGCTTTGATGGATCTGTTCATGTGCACTTAATATCACAACTCTTCAAAATGCTGGAGAGTTGCACTTGGTCACAGAGCCAGCCTTACCTAGAGGTAGGATCATTGCAGACAACTTTTCAGCTAGCATGCCAGTGGCCATCTCTGATCTGGGAAAAACATCCTTGACGATTGATGCAGTCTTGGTAAACTCCAGGACAAAGTGACCCCCCTGGAATTCAGTTGCATCGTTGTATCATCAGGCATCACAAGTCAGATTAGCCTTGTGTACATGAGGAACGTGAGATAATGTTCAAGGCTTCAACGCCTGCCAATTTCCAATAATCAAACATCGCATATCAAAATGTTTCTTTTTCAACGGTGTGTTGCCTTGACATCTTGTAGTTAAACTATAGTAATATTTAATATTATTAACAATTACGAAAAGCAAAATACCACTCGTTTGTTGTTGATAAGGATCTTATAATTACCCCAGCCATGATCTGCTTTGCATTTTGATTCCAATTATAATATTTATAAACTAAAAGACACCACATTATATCAATACAAGTAAAAAAAAGTACATCTGGTTAGTTATTAACACGTCTTTAGAAGATTCGTATTTTGTCATTTTGGACTCTGTCAAAAAAATTGTTTCCAAGAAAACATATTGTACAACACCAAGTGCCAATAATAAAATAATTAATGACGCGTTTGTCGATCAAATAAAATTTTCTTTTTTTTTTGATGTCTACTGAATCTAAATCAAAAAGAAAAAGAAGCAAAGAAAATAAAGAATAATTTGAAAGAGGGTAAGTGTTTATCATAAGGATGGTGGTGGTGGTTATCGCCCGCCACTCGTCGTCACTCTAGTTATAATGTCAATTTACATTTATTATTCCTTAGTATTAGAGATAAAAAAAATTAAGTCAGAAGTTTCAGTTGATGTCGTTGCAAAAAGAATCTCAGACTTTGGAACGTCTTATAATAAAGTAAATATCTAGAATTATGATTTGATAATTCTAGAAAAATTAAAAAAAATTTTTAATTATAGGATTTAGATAATACATTATTTGATTTGACGCTATCAGAACCTAGAAATACTGTTGGAGATTATCATCCCTTGAATTTAGTGAACAATATTTATTGAAATTTCGGACACCTCTGGATGCCTTACGTGTAAATTCAACAAATGCTATTAATTACAAATTTGTTTGGCCAAGAAATTTTCCAACAGCAACAAACAACATGGGGTCTAATTGAGGCACTCTCATGCTTAATCGAATGTGGTGCTAATCCTAAACTCATAGATGAACATTGGGTATTAAATCATTATAAATGGATAATATGGAAAATAGCCAGTATGGTTAGAAATTATCCCGATTTATTTCGTGACTGGTTATCTGAAAACGTATTTGATCAATTAAAATACAGATATGAAAGAGAAATAAACTGTGGACACAATCTGCTATTGAATTAATGGTAGAAGATGATGTTTCACCACCATTAACCATGGTTCTTTGTGTATCAGAAATAATCAATGATAACATCACTCCATCAACAACATTATCTTTGTCATCAACATCCTCCTTTCATATGATGAAACTTAAATTAACTGATGGCTGGTATGAAATTGATGCATATATTGATCCACCATTACAATGAGCTATAATGAAGTCTAAGATAAAAATAAGTTGTAAGCTTGAAATTTGTATGGGTTTGTGGAAAACATGGTGGAAAAGCACAGGCATTATCAGTATTGAATGCAACAAGTCCTGTATATTTGAAGTTGTCGGGAAATTCAACAAAACTAGCTCATTGGGATTCCAAATTTGGGTTTAGAAAACTTGAGATATTTGCCATGTTGAAGAGTCTTACATCAGATGGTGGATCTGTTCCTGTAATTGATGTTATAATAATGCAAAAGTATCCTTTGCTATATCATGAAACAAAGAAAGATAAGATATATATCATTTATAACAAAAAGGTGAAGAACTAGCTCAAAGGAATTCAGGAGATGTCCGCTCTGTTGTTCCATTTTTTAAAGTGTGTGTATGTGATTATCATGGCCTGCCCAAATCTGTCAAAAATTTTAAAAGACAAGCATTGATCACTGCATGGAATCCTAGTAGCTCTTTATATGATTCTATTTATGAAGGACAGAGAAATCATATATATTCATTATTGGTAGCCAATCATCAACCATATGATTCATATTTATTATCAAAAAATCACTATACTTTATGTTTAACATCAAGAGGAAATACAACAATATGGAAAGAGCCAGAATCTAATTTAAATCAAATTAGAAATTCATAATATAATCCAGGGTTGGCAAATTGACTGGTCTATTGAGAACAGATGGATTTTGGACTGGTCAATTGCCATCAATAAAATACTAAATACAGTTAAATTGTTACACTAATGGACCATCAATGGACCACATATTTGCCAACCCTGATATAATCCATGAATTGTTACAAATTGTGATGAATTAGATAAAACTCAATGTTCACATAGAGCATGAGCTAATACACTTGTCAAATATGGTTATAATTTGAGTGTTGATAGTAAATATGCATGCCATCAAAATGAATATGTTATGGTATTGGTTGTACTGGCAATTGGGGAAGTTAAGAAAAAGGTATTATGTGGAATCAGCATGGAAACACAAATTGTAATAGCTACAGATATGAGTGGACAGCTTGTATTCATTGAGTTCAGTAAATCATTTTTTATTAATCTAGGTGTTTTGTTGAAACCCGGGAGGATATTGACCATAACAGATTCAAAACATGTTGATTATGACTTGTTGGATAAATTTCATGTATTGATCCAGGGTTGGAAAATTGATTGGTCCATTGCCATTGATAAAACACTAAATATGGTTAAAGTGTTACACTAATGGACCCAATGAACCATCAATGGACCGCACATTTGCCAACCCTGTATTGATCACTTGTAATGAAAGCGAGGTTGAAGATTTCCCTCACAAAGATCATCTGGAACAAGCCAGAGCAAGGCTTGAATCCAATTCTTTGCATTTATGAATCTAATGCAAAAGAATTGTGCAAATTATTTTCACCTTATTCTTTTACTCATTATCATATTCAATATCAATAAATTGTTACATCAAGTTTATTTGTTGAATTCTATTATACAATTTTCCACAATCCTTTACATTTTTTACCTTGTGAAAAGAACTGCCCAAAAAAGTAGCAGATCATTCATGTTTTTGGATTAAGAATATCAAATGAATGATCAGCATGTACGTACATTTTTGAATGAATTACAAAATTGCTATTTTGAAATTTGGCCGCGTGGCGCAGCAATAGGAGTCTTTAGATCAAGCCAACCATAAAAATATAAATTAATATTAAATAATTGTCAGAGTACTTGTGTGGGAGGAAAATACTCAGACACAAAGCCATTTATAAGTATTATCTATTCTTTGGGCATTCTGACAAAAATTCAACTTCCACTATTACTGTTGCTATTATTATCAATAATAATATTATTACTAATATTTATTGATTTTATTCTTTTCTTTGTTGACCCGTCCGTTCCTGAATTGCTTCTTTCTAGGGTTTGTTTTTCATCTTTAATAGTAGGGGTGGCAACTCCTTTATCTGCATTGCATTATTTTAGTCTAGAAATAAAAATGGTATTTTTATTGATCAATAGTTTCTTCATTTGACCCCGAAATTTAGGGCAACATCAATGTCCACTTTGTCTGATTTTGTTGGAGTGTAAATTATAAAATTTGTGAAAAGTATAAACTTCCTTCTATTTTTTTTTGAAGATTTTTTAAAACTTTTTGGGAAAAAGTGCAGGGTGATTTTCGAAGTCACGGAATAATAACTAATTTAAACAGAGACATAGAGGAGTTAGAAAGTTTTAAAAAGAGCAATTCTCAAAAATATAATGAGAGTTTTGCAGAAATGATTTACGAAAGTTGTACTGGTGTATTAAAGGAAATCATGTGATTATGACGCTCCCCTAACCAAATTGAAAATTATCTGCATATTTTTGTCATACCCCAATTTTAACGTCCGATTATCAAAAAATTTTTATAGATCAAAAATATTTTTAAGTTGCTAGAACAACGATAATAATAATAATAATAAAAATGTCCTTGAAAATCAAATTAGCAACATGTCAATTTAATGCCCTAACTAATTGCAAAAGTTATTCAAGGGCTTTTCGAACAAGAGGACATAAATTTAACAAGTAATGCTGCAACAAAAAAGTACAAACATCAATTCTTAAAGCTATTTAAAAATAATCAACTAATATATAAGTTGTTTATTAATTTTTTATTAGTTTTTGCTTTATTCTAGTTCGTACAATGTTAGCTCAAACAGAAGTAACGCCAAATCAAGATTCATTAAATTATATTCCGAATAATGATTCAATAACATCAAAGATAGATCCCGAGGAATTAGTTAGTTTTTTTTTTTAATTAAATAAAATAAATGTTAATTAATAAAAAAAAACTAATCGATATTTTTATTTTTTTATTTTGTGTCAATACACATATATGTACAGAGTCGTATCCAAAAACTTCGTAATATTGGTATAAGTGCTCACATAGATTCTGGAAAAACTACCTTGACAGAAAGAATTCTTTATTATACTGGAAGGATTAAGTAAATAAAAAAAAATTAATATCTAATCATCAAATATATATATATATATATCATGCAAATATTAAAAAAATATAACAATAAAAGGTCAATTCATGAGGTTCGCGGAAAAGATGGCGAGGGAGCAAAAATGGATAGTATGGATTTGGAACGTGAACGTGGAATTACAATACAATCAGCTGCCACATATTGTAATTGGAAATGGGGGAATCGTGGTGATTATAATATCAATATAATTGATACTCCAGGTTAAAATTCAAAATTTAATTGAAAAATAAATCATCATCATTAAAAATTAAAAAATTAAAGAATTAAAAATTAAAAATAGGTCATGTTGATTTTACTATTGAGGTTGAACGTGCACTTAGAGTTCTTGATGGTGCAGTGTTGGTTTTATGCGGCGTATCGGGCGTTCAGGTGTGAAGAAATTACTTAAATAATATTAATAATGATATAATATGTATTATTAACAAGATTGGTTACAACTAAATACGGACTTATAAATAATAATTGAATAACTATGTGTGTGATTATAACCAGAGTCAAACGATTACTGTGGATCGTCAAATGCGTCGTTATAGTGTTCCAAGAATATCATTTATTAACAAATTGGATAGGTATTTATTTTTTCAAATATATATGCATATATATATTTGTTTAATTTTTCATAATTTATTATAACTTTATATGAAATTTTATATAGAGTCGGTGCAAATCCTTTCAACATAATAGATCAAATCAGATCAAAATTACGAATTTCTGCAGCAGCTGTACAAATTCCAATTGGTATTGAAGATAATTTAAAAGGTGTTGTTGATTTAATTGAATGGAAAGCTATTTATAGCGAAGGTTCTCGAGGGTAATATATATATGTGTACATTATATTTATATTTATAAAATATTTAAATAATGTTGATTTAATTCCTTTATCACAGGGAAAAAATTATTGAAAAAGAGATACCTGATGAATTGATCGATTTAGCAAAGAAAAAGAAACAAGAGTTAATTGAAGTGTTGGCTGATGTCGATGATGAAATGGCTGATATATTTTTAATGGAAGAAACTCCAACTGCTCAACAATTGATGGTGTGTGTCATCTCATGTATCATTTTATTACATATATTATATGTAAACTAAATATATATATTCAACATTCATACGCACATACATACATGCGCACAAAAATTCTTATTAATTTATATCTTAAACAATTTTAATTTGAGATGTAGGATGCTATTCGCCGAGCAACCATTTCAAATAAATTTACACCAGTATTAATGGGCTCTGCATACAAAAACACAGCAGTTCAACGTGTTCTTGATGCAGTTTGTGCGTACCTTCCAAATCCATCCGAAGTGGAAAATACAGCATTGGATATTGATGAAAAAGAAGCAAAAGTCAATCTTATTCCATATTCGAAAAATCCATTTGTAGGTTTGGCATTTAAATTAGAAGATGGAAAGTATGGTCAATTAACATACATTAGAGTTTATCAGGGTGCTTTGAAAAGAGGTTCAACTATAATTAATATCAAAACTACGAAAAAAGTCAAAGTTCCAAGACTCGTTCGTATGCACTCTAATGAAATGGAAGTGAGTAAAAAAGGTAATATATTAAATTGTCATACATACATTAAACTATATGTGTATTTTAGGATGTTGACCAAGTTGGGGCTGGTGAAATTTGTGCGCTTTTTGGTATCGAATGTTCATCTGGTGATACGTTTACTGATGGGGCAGTTCAATATACTATGGTATCAGAATCAACCTTTAAACACTTTTATCTAATCAATCAAACAATAAATTAACTAACTAATGAATAATAACGGTTTGTCCAATTTTTAGACTTCCATGTTTGTTCCTGATCCAGTAATCTCACTATCGATAACTCCAAAAGTAAAAGATTCCGTTAATTTTTCAAAAGCACTTAGTAAATTTCAAAGAGAGGATCCTACATTTAGAGTATCATTTGACCCAGAAAGTAAAGAAACAATTATATCAGGAATGGGAGAACTTCATTTAGAAATTTATGTTGAACGCATGAGAAGAGAATACAATGTTGATTGTAATACTGGAAAACCACAAGTAGCGTTTAGAGAAACTATTACCAGGAAAACTAAATTTGAATATACACATAAGAAACAAACTGGTGGTTCAGGTCAATATGGTAAGGTGATGGGATATATTGAACCATTGGTAAAAAGTCAAAGTGGTAGTGTTGGTGATGAAGAGGAGGAAGAGGAGGTTCCAATTTTTGAAAATAGAGTTGTTGGTGGTCGTATCCCATCTAATTTTATACCAGCTGTTGAAAAAGTATGAAAGAATTTTTATTTATTTTTATTTAATTTTTTTTTTTGAATAAATTAATTTGAATCGTTTTTAAAAAACCATTTTAGGGATTTCATGATGCGTTAGAGAAGGGCACACTAATTGGACATCCAATTAATGATGCTCGATTTGTACTTGAAGACGGAGCACATCATGCAGTTGATTCATCAGAATTAGCATTTCGATTAGCGAGTTTTTATGCATTTCGCGAAGCTTATAATAGAGCGAATCCAGTAATTTTAGAACCAATTATGAACGTATCAATCTCTGCACCGACTGAATTCCAAGGAATAGTTATTGGTAATTTAAATAAAAGAAAGGGTTTGATTATTGATACAGATATTCATGAGGACTATTTTGTTGTGACGGCTGAAGTGCCGTTAAACAATATGTTTGGTTATTCATCTGATCTAAGAAGCGCCACACAGGTAATAATATAAATACACGTGTGTTTTTATATAAAATTATAAATATTAATTAAATATGATTATGATAATTAGGGTAAAGGTGAATTTAGTATGGAATATAAAACATATCAACCAGTTTTACCAAATGTTCAAGATGAATTGGTTAATGAATTTAGAAAAAAACTCGAAGCCGAGAAAAAATAAAAAAATAAACAATAGATTTAATATTTATGATTAAATTATAATAGGTAAAAATGAATTTAAAAAATGCACAAAAAAAAATATGAAAAAATACAATCCCTGCCTTGATTTGCTATTTTTGACGTGTTTGACGTGTCTTTGTTATCATCAATGGTGATTTATAAATAAAAGAACACTATGATGGTGTGGAGCAACATCGACTTAGATATTGGAATCGACTATTTTAGTTGACTAAAATAGTCAGTCGTTTAAAGGAAGATTTCAATTATGATGATATTGTTGATGGGGATTTGTTGATGACAATTTTATCTATGAACCAATGATATAAGATCTAATAATTCATTTGCTTTGGTTCCAATGATTTAAATGGTGGTTTTAAAGGATAAAAAAAAAGGGAGGTAACGCAGCACTAATGTTGATTGACGAAACGTTACCAAAGCTGTAAAATCATTACGTCAAAGTTGCTGCCATTAAGTACACTATCGTGTTTAATTAATTTTGGTGTATATTTATCAAAATTACTGTGTAAACAAACAACTATGGAAGTTTTATAATATCAACAATATTGATTGATTAAGTTACTTTGAAATAATAAACCCATCTTTATCTTTATCTTTATCAACGAAAATTTCATCAAGGATAACTTCGGGTCCTCGCAGAGGAAAATAATAAAATAAACCTCTGATAGAATCATTATTTTTATCTAAATAAAATTAATCGTTAATAAACTTTTAGAAATAAGTATAAAATCGAAAACATTGTTTTTATTTTTTATGTTTGAAACGCTTTGATAAAAGCAACAAGTGTAGTTAGTGCCTTGATGAAAGGCAACAACAATTATGGAGCTGCTTTAATGAGCAAGATTAGGACTAACGTTGGTTAACTAGCGAGTGCTAACAACGATTAATGAGGTAATTTGCTTTAGTGAGTAAGCAAAGGTTAGTCGGAGATGCTGGTAGTAGTAAACGTAAGGCTGTTAAACAAGCTACCTAAGTTGTTTTGCAAGTAAACCAAAGTGAATTTGCAATCGCCAATAAAAATGTAAACAACTGAAACAAATCAATCACAAATGAATAAAGGAACTTTATAAACCATAATTGTTAATTAACCGAAATGATACCTCGCAATATCACCATCTAACAAGAATCGAAAAATTGTAAAAAGTTTATTTCAAAATATTGTTACAAGATAAGAAATAAAATAAGGATGAAATAAAAAGATAAATAAAAAGATAAAGAATTAAATTTATAGTGGAGATTAAATTAGTCATTCATCAACTCTTTTACTATTGTTATTAGAATCTAATTAATTAATATTGTTGGTAATAATAATTAATAAGTAGCAATTTCTAATTAATAAATAAATAAGTAGTGAAATTTTTATTTACCTTTGTTAACATTTAGAAAAAAGAGTCACAATCAATATTATTTAACGAACTATTGTTTGTATAAATTTTCAAGCTTTTAGATTTAGCAATCTCTTCATCTAATATTCTACTTTTATGATATGCGTCTGGATGTGATTTGTGTACTTGTTGTGAAGCACCACTACCACCACCAATAGTATTATTACCATTATCATTTTTAATAATTTCTTCATATTTATTTCTAGCAAAAACATAAAGCTCTCTACTGGTTGGTCTTTTTGATGGATCCACATCCCAACACCTCTGCATCATTTGCACATAATCATCAGGCATTCCAGGTAGTAT